TTTCCCTACTCTGTTCTCTGATGCAACAGTGGAGTTTTTTAACACTGCAGCTAACAATCCTCTGTTTGAAGCAATAGCATAAGACTTTATTAAAACTGCCAGCAGTCTGGCGTTCCTGCTTAGCCACAGACCTACATAGTGAGGAGAAATACAGAAGTACATGTGAAATTTCACAAGCATAAAATTTCACAAACTCAGGAGTTTAACCAAAGCTGCCAGATGATTTGTTTCTTTCAAAAAGCAGCTGAAGATATTTCAGTTGATCTGTATTGTAACATCATGTGGTAGTATATTTTGTTGAATAATAGCTGCATATCAAACAATGCATGTGTAAACCTGTGTGTAGAACAGCTTGTATTAAATTTCAGTGCTGGATATTAAGCAAAATAGAATAGAGAGGACCCACTCTTGTTTGTGTAGTGAATAGCAGGACAAGGCATTGAACAGGTTATCTTATTTTCAGATATGATGAAGAGATGGCACAAAGTGATGGGCCTGATCGTGACTTGCGAAGTCGTTCTGGGCAATCTACTGGAGTAAAAGGAAATCGGGCAAGAGATTCGGGAAAGCCTGTACTCACCACCTGGAAGTGATAACTGAAGAAACAGCTGCACTCTTGGTAGGAAGACATCATGAATAAAAATGCAGGTTTTGAACAGATTCCTCTATTTTTCTGCATTGCATGTGGGAGATATTAAAAGAGGACAATACAGACTTTGAAAAGAAATGAAACAAACACTCTAAACCCAGGAACTGTACTAGACACACACTGACTTGATGATTATTACAATAATATATAGGTAGTATGTATGTGTATATAATTATTTTTTATGTATATATACACTTTGTATGAACTAATATTCTCTCTGTAATGATTAAGAACTTTCTTTATAAAGATGACAACTCAAAATATGCGTTCTGAAAGAAATCCCTTGCCATTCTGGATAGAATTTATTTCCTGTAGTAGCCTGTCCCTAACTCCCTATAATAAATGAGGGGTGGATTCGGTACAAGGATGGTAGTGGTGTTAATGTTGTCGCAATGATGGTTCAGATTTTTGCTGGTAAAAGAAGAGTAACTAGAAAAAGTAGCAATACATGGAGGCTATTGTTAGTTAATGCAGCTAATGACTTATAACCAGTATTAAGAAACTGGAAAGCAACTCATTCTATGCTGAGGGGATTTTAATTTATTTTATTTTCTTTAAGTGTTTTGAGCTGCTAACTCTTTAAAGATAGAGAGTTTCATGGACTGAGAGAGTGTTTCAAATGGTATATTGATGCATTATTTCACTAGCCATTAATTTTTGTTTCAAGATAATGCATGTCTGTGGAAAAACAGACAGAACAACTATATACTGTAATAAATCTCATTGCTTGAAGCCGATGATAAATCCTTATTTGCATCAGAATCTCTTTGTGTATTTATGCATGTATATAATATCTGTATATTTTGTGTGCACTATAACAAAAATACTGTTGCACGTGGTAAGCTATTTCTGGTAGCTCTGATAACAAAAGTTGTGATGATTAGCTACCAAAATGAGCAAAAGTTAAAAATAGGTATTTTGGTCTTCTAACAGCATAGCACATAGATAAACTAGTTGGGTCTGTGACGGGCTATTGCTCCCACTTGCATTTCCACTAGTTATGGAGCAGTTATTTATAAACATCAATGTGCAGTTCTGGTTGTCTTTATTCTCATTCCCCCTCCTCCCTTTTTTTTTTGTTGTTGTTGTTGTTTTTTGATGATGGAGTATTGTGGAGAGAAAGATGAAGGAGGCTGAGAGTTGCAAATGCCCATGTAACTATAATACACTCTAATCTGGATGCCGCAAGCGCAGCAATACTCAATCTCTGCCTGCCACAGCAGGCTACGTGCTTTGCCCTCCTATGTGGCAGGCCACTAAAGCACATGCAAAGTAAACTTAACCTCTCCCAAATGTTTTGAGTTTCTCAAATGCGTAAGGCAGGCCACCTGGACCACAGAAAATGTCAGTCCTTTTCCTGCTGTTCTATGTCCTCCTAGAAGAGGGCAGCTGCTCACAAATTGCGTTTTTTGGGACAGTTGGTGCTGATGACTCTCAGTC